AAAATGCTCCTCAGAAAATGAAGAAATCTGAGAGCACCTGGGAAAAAAAAAAAGAAAAAAAAACAGATGCCATTTTACTAGTTCTAGAAAGAGACTTTAGGAGGTGAGAACATTATAAAAACTAGATATTTTGAAAGGACCAAATAGTAGTGAAATTAAGCAGCTTTTGGTAAGAACTGCATGAAAAGGCAAATCCTAGTATGGCAGCGAACACAGGGGTGTTAGTAACCACAGTTTGTCTGTTGACTTACATTTACATTTATCTACTTCTTCAAAATAGTTAGCACCTGTACCATGATTTCTGTATTTCCTCAGAAAGCAAACAAAATTATTAATGTTTTTCCTCTAACTCGGAGCCTGATTTTCCAGCTGAGACTGGTTTCCCCTGGAAGTAACTCCACTGACTTATGTGAATCATTTGAACAGGGAGAGCTCATGTAACAGTGGAGAATCAAGCCCATAGGTCAAAATTTACAAAAGTAAGTATCTAAAATTAGATTCTTAATTTTCTAATTAGGTACCAGAATAGAGGTGCCCTGGTTTTCAGAAATGCTGTGCATTGATGTATCCATCTGAAGTCAATGAAAGCTGAAGATGACTTTCCCTGGAAAATTGGAACGTTTTCATTTAAACATCCCAATACCRTTATGGGTTAGCATCACACATCCTGCACTGAAGGCTTTTATTTCTAAACCCAGGTTGAATTGAATGGGAATATATCCAGTACACAGAGTTTTCATAGCATAGTATGTTGTGGTGTATGAACATAGCCCATTTTGCCTGACTTGCTGATGGCCTGGTCTGTGTCTGGGGATTCAAAATAAAAAGAGATGTGGTGAACTTGTTTTCCTCTYGTCTTCCCTTGTGTCTTGATCCTGAGACTAGCCCTAGGTGCAGCCGAGAGGCGCCTCAGGGCTCTTCTGTGGCCCTTGTTTCTCCCAGTGCTGGACCATGTGAACAATACAGCTTAAAAGTTATAAAGATCAGAAATGTCATTTGGGCGTTTGTGACCTATTTTGTTCCTGACGGGTAGGTGCTATTGAGAAATACTTAAATCCAGCTGCTAAATGAAGATGAAGATGTTGAAGATGAAGAGGGAGGCTGAAGCCTGTGACCACAATACAATGGAAGACAGACATGGAAGGGTGGGGAGATAAGGACAGTCTTTTAAAGCTATCCTTGTTGTTGTTGTATATGTCCTGAAAAAATCGTGACCAGCAATAGTTATGATATAACAGATCCACCTACCTGTGCACACTGATGAGCCCCAAATGCTCATAATGGCTTATCCTGCATACTCAGACCATCTGGATATTTTATTTGTTTAAAATGTTCTTAGTTTGAATAACAGCTGGCTCTTACATTCTTATGGATTAACAAATACTTACAGACACATGACTTTCTATTTCATTGCTTTTTCCAAAGTGATTGTTGCTATTGGCGACATTTAAATTACAGCTGACTCTTCATAGGGCTTTATTAGCACGTTTCAATTTGTTTCATTGTATGTTGTATTTCCTCTTCTATTTCAGATTGCCTTACTTCATCCTTTGGCTGTAATACTCTCGTGAGTGTGGTGGCCTTCCGCCACAAAAGCAGTAATGCCTAAGCGGTGGTGCCACATCACGTCACTTAACAGGCAGTAATTGTCCYCAAGAATCACAGGAATCTTGCTCTGCTGCATTGGATGTCACTAATGCCCTGAAGACACCSAGGGCTACAGCCTAAGATACACTTTGTTCCAGGTTGAAGGGACAGTGTTGAATGCACAGAGTGYCGAAACACCAAAAGAAAATACACGCATCTATAAATGTTTATATTATATATGTATATATTATAAATGTAYACATATGTATATGCATCTATTTTATATATGTGAATATATATAATATACATACATATAATCTCTGAGAAACTCATTTTTAAAACTGCATTTCCCTAGGAACAAAGTCTACGCGATAACACTGTCATGCTGCCCAAACTGGTGATTGTGCAAATCCAGTGGTCAATTCCAGCCAAGCATCACGCATGGATGGTGTTCCTGAGAGAACAAAGCCCTAACAAAGTTCATGAAAAGACACAAATAGCACCGAGAAAGACGCTGCCACAGAAACTCCCACCTTCTGCACGTGTGCGAGCCACTGTAAGAGCACAAAAGCTGCAGCTTAGGCTCACACCTGTGTAGGCACCAAAGTCAATCAACCACGAGACGGAGGGATCGGAAACCCAGCTACATGAGCRCTGTGCTCACAGCAGCTCCTGCCGGCTTGGACTTGGCACTGGGAGGGTCAAGTTCCACGGGTGTTTCTAAGCTAATCCTGCTTTTGTGCCGTGCACAGCTCAGCCAGGCATTTCTCAGATGTTTTATCTTCATGCACCATTTCTCAGGTCAGGGAAGCACTTCAGCACGGTCCTTTTGTTCTCAAAGAATTCCCGAATATGTGCTTGCAAATTCTCACGACTGAATCCCTTTATGMCGTATTTTCTCTGTGTATTCATACGGAGTCCCTCATTTGGTAGCTGAGCAGGAGTAAAGCTATGAGTTCAAGTCATTTTTAGTCAATTTAGCTAAAGTGAGCTTGTCATTTCTGGGGGGGGGGGGGGGGGGGGGGGGGGGGGGTTGGTCATCCTTGTTATGCTATTACTGACATCATGCATGGTTTAAGTTGTATAATTTGTTCCGTTTAATTGTTACCAGTTTTATGTTTTTTTTTTTTTTTAACCTGTTTATGTGCTTAAAATGGAAACATGCTTTCTTCTTTGTTTTGAAGTCCAGAAATAGGTCCAGACATGGACTGACTCAAATAAGAGCAGAAGCTGACCCTGAAATCTCCTCTAGCTGTGTAGACTAGGCCGCCACCGCACATGAAACCTGGCTTATTCTTTTCATAATCTCTATCTCTCTTTTTTTTTTTCATTTAATGTTAAAAGATTTTCAGGTTGGCACCTACACTTTCCCTTGTCCTCAATTTCTGAGAAGAATCATGAAGTAATTAGAAACTGCCCTATGTTTTGGCTCATTAATTACGAATAAACCATTGTAGAAAAAAAGAGTCTTGAGAAAGCATTTTCTGGGAAGTTGGGCCTATTTGTGTATGCTGATTTTTTTAATATACCAAATTGAGATTAAGACTTTAAAAAACATTAACCATCACTGTGTGAAGCCTGACAGTTAAACAGCTGCAGTTGTATTTAAATTGTAGAAAGAAAGATTTGGGTTTGATTGTAAAACCAATATTGGAACAAGCTACATACTGATTTGCAATACCTCACAGCAATTAGTGTCCTAAAGGATGTGACTTTTCATTAAGGCAGTAACAYCAGCGGGAGGATCTGACGGGTGGCTGAATCACGCCGAGTTTCACATGCACGCACAGCTCCCCTGTTTACTGCCCAGCCAAATCCCTCCTTCTCTAATCCTGGATTGCCACATGTGCAATCATATTTCATCCGGCGCGGAGCTCTGAAATMTCTAATTAACGAAGAAGGCCATTGCAGTTGCACAGCAGCACGGGGCCTGGTCAGCTCCTGGGAGGGTGATATCAGAGCTCTGCATTGGCTGCCTCCTGCACACTGCTGGGCAGGATGGATGGGAGGACACGTCCATGGACAGCCTGTTCCCTGCAGCACCTCCCTGCACGAGATGCGCATCCCATGGGACGTGCGGGAGGGGAAGGTCGCTGTCCATGTGCACCAGTGGTGTGGAATTGGGTTGCTCTGAAGGTCTGGGCTCCTTGAAGCACAGCTGGTGGCTGCATGGCCCTGATCCTGTGACCAAGCCCTGCTTGGAGCAGCAGAGGGGCCTCTTGGGCCTTCTTGGCGCCCCTTTGGGTGACAGGGTCCTGAGGGGACGGAGAGAGCTGCTTCCCGAGGGACGCAGCGCTGCTGCGGCCATGTCCTCCCCATCCTGCGTCCACCGGCTAGGCAGGACCTGYGTTTTGTCCCAGGTATTCCTGACCCACCGCTCTGCCCCGCAGGCTGCCCATAGAGGGAAGGGGCCCGTCTGTCCCCCCTGGGAGACGCAGTGACTCGGGCAGCACTGTGGGTGCGGTCACTGCTCTGCAGAGCGTTGGGGGTGCGAGGTGGGTGTCAATGCCGGTGCAAAGTGAGTGTCAATAGCGGTGCGGGGCCGCGCCCAGGGGCCGCTCGAGGGCACGGAGCCCCTCGCGCCTCTTAGGGCCCGCGCCCGGGCGGCTGAGCGCGGGCTGAGCAGCGGCTGCGGCAGCACCGGCGGCGCCGCGGGCCTGGAGTGCAGAGCCAGGTGCGGGGTCGTGCGGAGAAGGGGCGGCGGCGGGGGGAGAGTGTGTGACTCGGGGCCGGTACCCCCGGGCTGGGGGACGGGTTGTGTGACTGGGGACCAGTGTGCGGCGCGCCGGTGTCCGTGACCCGCTCCCGGTGCGGGGCCCCGTGGCTCGGGGACAGCGCGCGGCCCGCAGGCCGCAGCCGCGGCGACGTGGTTGCCATGACAGCGGGGCCGCCGCGCGGGCATTGGCTGCGGCGGCGCCACGTGGGGCGCGCGCTGCG